CTAACACTCAAGCTAACAAAATTAGATGAAAATGTTACATTTTTGGTAATTTTAGGTACAATAAAAAATAAAATCAAAACTTGAGAACATAAGAGTTGTTGATAATTTTATTAGCTTTCAAATAATTTAGAGATCAATTTGAAGGTTAATATAACTCCACTTGCTATGCTTACATTCTTTGTAGGTTGTAGTCACGTAACAAGAAATGTGATTTTATGTGGGAAAACCTAAATAATTAATAAAAGTGTTTGTGTGAGATTATAAACTAAAGTGAAGAGAGTTTTAAAAGAGACTAAAGTGAAAATAAAGAATAATAATTTAAGAGTAAAAGTTACATGAAAGAGTATCCATGTGTGAGCAACATGTGTTTATGAGTGCATATATATGAGGAGTGTCAACAACACACTCTCTAAAATACTTACTTTTATTGACTAAAATTTATTGAAAACCACAAATCAAGAGAGATAATCATTAAATAGGGTATGAGACTCCCCAAATTATGTGTTTTTCAATATATTTCAATAAATAAGAGAGTGTGTTTAAAAGAGTGTAATAGAGAGTGTATTGCTAGCATTTCTCTCTCTCTCTCTCTCTCTACCTATATGTGTGTGTTATGAGCAAGTGTGTATATAGGCCAAGTGTTAAGTTTAAACTATAATCATGTGCTAGTTTGTTATATTTGAGCTCTTGCTTAGCCAAGCATAAAATATAGGCTTTTTGCTTAGTCATTTGTGGAGTTTAAGCTATGTCTAGGCATTGCTTAGCCATGTGTCATTTGTGATGTGTAAAGAATCCATGCATTCATGCATATTTTTGTTTGGAAGTACTAGTATGCGAATCAAATTAAGAGAGTTTCCATGATCTTTTATCTTGGCTTAGGAGTTTTAACCGTAGGGAACATTTTGTCAACATGTGTGATAAATGGTAACCAAGCACAATTATAAAACCCTAACTAGCTCTTGTTGGATATTTGTCCCATTGATGGTGGATGTTTAATTACCCATTGAGTTGTAATTTGTGTTATTTCACATAATCATAGGTTGCCTAATATGTGGGCTATGCTAAAAGTTATTGATATTACATGCATATCAAATTAAGAATATATATGGCAATTCATGTTGAGTTGTGAAACTAAATGTGCTTGTGTTGCATTTTTTACTTGTTTTTAGTTTACTACTTGACCTTATATGTGCTTTAGACACATGTGAGAAGTATTTTCACCCCTCCAATTTGTGTTTTGTATGTTGTTTGGACTGAATATCAACTTCACGTGAAGATTAGGTGAATTATATTGAGCATGCTAGTGATGAAACTTAGGGCCTTAGACTTCAATGTTATCTACACAAGCATAGGATGTACTCACCAAGGTGTATATTAGCAAGACTAGAGCCATAGTTATCTACCTAAGGAGCGACTCACGCGGTTCACAAAAGGCTTTAGATCCATGATGACCGAGGACTTTCATGGCATCAAATCCATGGTTGGTGAAATTAACCATTATCAACGCTCACTTGGATGATGTGGATCTTGTTATTCATATACTCGATGGCTTGTGAGTTGAATACAAGAATGTCTCAGTAGCCTTCATAAACATGAAAATCCAATTGTCTTTAATGAACTCCATGGCATTTTTTTAATAGATTTTTAGACCTATCTAAAGAGGGATAATTCCAACAAATTTTACTGCAAATATGTTATTTTATGATTTATTTTTTGCGAAAGATAACTTATAGGAAAATTCCTAAGTAATTTTTATGTTCCTATGAGTTTGTTTTTGGGAATTTAAATCCACAAGAAACAAATAATAATTTTTTAAAAAAAGTAGGAAATTTTGTAAATAGATTATATGGAAAATTTGTTGGTGATTTTCTTGAAAAATTTCATATATTTTTCAAAGGAAATTTATTCTTAATTTTTTTTTGTTGCTAATTTAAATCTACAACAAAAGTAAAAAAAAAAAACTTCCTCGAAGTAAGAGGAGGAGATTAGTTATTATTATTATTTTTTATTGAAAAGTGAAGAAAAAAAGAGAAGAAAACTATTTTCTTAATTTACAAAGGAAGGCATTAGAAATTTTAAAAATTAATTTATTTTTATATCTTTATAATTTAAAATATAAACATATTTTAAATATTATACTAAAAATATTTTAAAATTACTTCCGTCTCTTTTAAATCTTCTCAATATTAAAGAAAAATTAAAATTAGATAATAAATTTTACTTCATTCCATTCTCCTTCTTTATTATCTCAAAAGTTGATCTAAACAAAGAAAATTTATAAAATTTCTTCCCTTTTCATCTAACAAAACACTATAATATCCACACTAAATCACATTGAGATTTTATAATTATGTTAGACATATAAATTATTTATTTATAAAATAAAGGGAGTGATATTAATTAAGGTCTCATTAATATTCGAAAACTTAAATATTTTTAAAAGGATAAAAAAAAATTTAAAAGGTCCAAATAAAATCATATATTTTACACATCAGATTCAATTTCTATATATTAAACACAAATTTCTATCTTATGTGTGAATATTTTTAGGAATTTTTTATTAATAGGAAAGCTTGTAAAAAAAATTTAACTTCTTATTTAATTTGATTTTTATTTATCATAGTTATTTATAAATTAAATAATAATATTTTTAAATAAATTATAAAAAATAAAAATAAATTTTTATTACAATACAAACTATTTATCATAATTGATAAATTTAAAATATAATTTTTATATTTAAAAATATTTATGTATATTAATTTTAAATATAATATTCATTTATATCCTATTATAAACTTTAATTATATATAATAAATATTTCCGTACATTCCACATGCTAAAAGACTTAAAACCTAGTGTTGTAAAAGAAAATTGCATTCATTTAGTCAAAGCTTTGCAATCTATATTTTGTACCTCGTTATCTATCTTTCGATTCCAATTTCACCGAAAACCTTCACACTCTGTCCCAAGGTTGTCAAATTCGAGAGTCTATGCAAACTCGTGGAGCTCTCGTAGACTCGATTCGTAGATTTTGACTCGTAGACTTTTACTCGTAGACTTGACTCGTAGACTCGTAAGAGTCTACCTAATATTAAAAGATATTAAAGAAATGAACACACACAATATGATATTACTAATTCAACATTCTACGTCTAAAATTAAATACTAACGGACCAAATAAACACCACAAAACAACACAGACCTGAAAATAAACAAACAAGACTTCAAGATTAAACAAAAAAATCCAGCAGAGTGTGCTGGTTTAGACAATCAAAACAACACCTATAAATCAAAAAATGTGACAGAGGTGAATGAACAATGCTGGACGAGTAGGAAAACGTGAGCACGAACAGCTCATCAAAAACTGCATGGACGATGCCAAAAGCTGTAAGGACGGTGCCAGGCAGATAGAACGAAGTCGAATGGTGACGTGGGAGCTCAAAGCCTCGAATAGAGGAAAATCGAAGAATGCAGCGGAGGGAGAGTATTGTTTTCATATGCGAAAAGTGAGAGATCGAAGAAAATAGAGAGGAGACTAGAAACCCTCTCTAAAACGACGTCGCTTTGGGCATTTAGGGGCCAAAAAATTAACCTGAAGCTGACTTGCGGACTCGCCCATAGACTCGCGATTTTGAGTGATTCTACCCGAGTCTAGCCGAGTCTACACGATAGGCATGATAATCTAACCCACCCCGATTTGGACGGGGAAAATCCATATTTATCGGATTCGGGTTTGGGTTCGGATTTTTCCCAATTGATAAAATCGGGGGCGGGGACGAAGATGTTAATACCCGCCCCGCTCCCGTCCCGCTTAATAATATAATTAAAAAAATTATTTATATATATATATATAAACTAAAATTAAAAATATTTATATATACAAATTTATATTATTTTACTTTTCTTTTATTTTTTAAAATTTGTTCATATTTATTTAAAAGAAAAGAAGAAAAAAAAAATAAGAGTGGGGTGGGGGCGGGGCAGGGAAACTTGAATCCTGTTGAGGGCGGGCATGAGTATCGAAATTTTATCTCCGTGTCGGGGACAGGGACGGTTTAAATTTGTAGAGGCCGGAAGGGGAAATGTAAACCTCGCCCCGTTGCCATACCTGTCCACGAAACTACCAAAAAACGATTCCAGCAGCGAATTAACCAAAAAAACCCTAAACCCTAAATTTGTATAATTCTACGAGTTAACTCGCGAGTTTCACAACATGCTCTGTCCTACTTTGATTTTGATTTGTTCAATGTACGCAAATTTCGCGTATAAGCTCTTCGATTGCTTCAACTGCTTATGAAACCCTTGCTGCTTCAATCTTCTGTTTCCATTTTGAGATTATCTTCTCCATTTCTATATTTTTTTGTCACAAAATATAATTACATATGGTCGCGATGTTACCGGTGTGCAATTTCATCATTTCTATTTCTTTTTCCAACCTATTGTGATGAAGAAGGTGGAGAACGAATGTTAATTGGTTAATTAACTTGCCTCACTTGTACGGTATATATTATTGTGGTTACACATTATTTTTTTCCGATATGATAGCTAATTATATAATTGTTACTTTTTACCAACATGGCAACTAATTGCATAATTGCTTGGGTTATTCAATTGTCAATTACGGTGCCTACCAATAATTAATCTTGTCAGTGATTAGTTTGTGTTTAAGTATCTTCTTATGGAGAGATAAATATAAACTGGATTTAAGTAGTTTACCAAATGGATTCTTCTGGTTTCTTTCTGATTTGATCGGTGTTGGTGCTGCTTACAGGTTTCGCACACCAAAGGTTTGCACCGTGTTTGGCTGCAGTTGTCAGTGTTGGAGACTTAATGAAATGGAGGTAATTCTATGGTGGTTTTGGGTGTATGAAGTACTCAATCAATATTTTTTTAATATATCATTTCTTGTGTTATTCATCAAGACAATCAATTTTTTTTTATAGAGTATGTTAAAATTTGGTGATATTTAATTGAAACTTATTTTTAAAAATATGACTATTATTTTTTCTATCAGGATGGCATTACACACGCACTTGCCCAAACTCCTTGTACATGGCTACGCAACTAACAGCTACCACATCTGAATACATAAAAGCCATATTCAATTCACAACTCTAGTTTGCTTGGTGGCACTTGGTAGGGTGATGTCCATCAGAAGCGAAGCAAATGGCAATGGTTATGAGGAAACCAGCGAGAGCACCAAACCAAAATGGAAAACCTATGATCTCCAGCTTCTGGTGATGGGGCTGAGCACGAGTCTCATCTGGCGGAGAAGGCATAAAGCCTGAAGTGCTGTGACGGTAGAGACCCTTGTTTCCTTCAAAGCTTGTAGTTGGGAAGGTATCAAACTGCCCCTTTGTTGGAATTTCCCCATGCAACTCATTATGAGACACATCAAATGAGGATAAGAAACTCAATTCAATTAATGATTGTGGTATTTCTCCCGAGAGTTTGTTGTGAGACAAATCCAAAATCTCCAACATTGTCATGCCTGATAACTCCCAAGGAATTGGTCCTGAGAGGCTATTGTGTTTTAGGTCCATAACATGTAGGCCTTTCAGGTTACCAAAACCTGCCCATATTGGTCCTTCAAGTTTGTTGTAACAGAGCAGTAAAGATGGCCGGAAACTTGAAACTTTTTCGTACTTTATCCTCCTTAAAGTGCCAGTCTCAACGGAGTCAAAGGGAAAGACAGAAAGAGTTCTTTCCAATGAAGAATTTTTGTGCTGGAGGCTCAGGAACATTGTCAAACTCTGTGGTATGTTGCCGGTGAAAGAGTTATTTGACAAGTCCAAGTAATAGAGGTTGTTAAATTTCCCAATCCATGAGGGTATGCTGCCAGTGAGATGATTCCATGACAAATCCAGCATCTGCAGCATCTTGCATCCACTTAACCAATTTGGAATTGATCCTTTAATCTGACTATTACCCAGTGCAAAAACCTTGAGATTGCTGAATTCTAGATTTTGACCCTGTGGCATTTCTTCGTTGTGGAAGTTCTTAGAAAGGCCTAGCATACTTAAGTTCCTGCAGTGACTTAAATCCTCTAGTGTTGCTGACAAATTATGCTGGTTGGCGTTTGAAAGGCTGAGTTGTGTTAGGGACTGAAGATTCTTGAAATTAACAGAAATCTCACAACTGAAATTGACACCACCAAGACTAATTGCTTCCAACTTTGAGCAATTTGATAGGCTACCGGGGGTTGGACAACGGAATTGATTTAAACCAAGACCAATGGTAATTAGATTTTTCATCACAGAGCAATTCAAATTAATTGAACCACCCAAAGAGTTGTTTGTCAAAATAAGCCTTTCAAGAGATGGAGAATTCACCAGCGAAGCAGGCAACTGACCAGTGAATCTATTTGAACCAACATTGAAAACTTTAAGCCTTGTGAGGCCTCCAAAGATATTAGGAAGAAATCCAAAAAAATCATTATTGGAGATGTCAAATTCCACTAGGTTTGAAAGCTTACCAACTTCCTCACTCAGTGTCCCAGATAGCTTATTATTCTGCAGGTATAGTTCATTCAAGTTTTGTAGCTGAAAGATGCTCTCTGGAAGGCTTCTTGACAAATCATTTCCATTAATGGACAAATGCTGCAGAGAGGAACAATTACCCAAATTTTCTGGAATCTCACCAGAAAAGAAGTTATTAGATAATTTAAATACTCTTAGCCGATTAAAAGAGGAACATATGGCTGTACTCACAGGACCTTCAAAATGATTATTGCTGAAGTCCATGACCTCCAAGTTTTGAAGATGAAACAAGTTCTCTGGAAGAGAGGCAGTGAAGAAATTATAGGAAAGGTTCAAGACTCTAAGTTGGTCCAAACCTGCTAAGGATTCACAGATCTTCCCACTAAGTCTAGTGCTTCCGAGTTCCAAGCGAACCACCCTTGTGCCGACATGCGGCAAGGCATCACATGTGACACCAGACCAAGTGCAGTAATCAGGGGAGGTAGAGCTGTTCCAGTCAAGAATAGTTGATTCTAAGCAGCTAGAGAAACCATTTAAGGCTTTCAAATCATTGGATCTGCTTGTAAAGTTCTGAGATTCATGAGTACTAGTCCCAAAACTGATAAATGGTATCAAAATGGTACACAAAAAGAGACTATGAAATCCCATATTTGATATCTCACTGAAAAATAAAAAGTCAACTCAGCAAATGATTTGGTATTAGTGTTTGAGAGAAAGAGCACGGACATAAGATAAAACTATAAATAACGGGGACACTGTTATGACTTGAACTTCTATGTATACATCAAGTTGCAAGACTTCCGAGTGTTGAGTTGACCTCCATGGCAATATATGTCAAATATGATCCCTTCGTGCATCTTGCATGAAAGGAGCCTTAAATCTCTCTATAAAAAAAATAAGCGTTTAAATGAAAAAAAGTAAAAGTTCGTGAAAGTTCGTGAGTGAGTGTAATTTTTTTTTTTTTTAACATAAGTTGAGTTGATCCCAAATACATTGCTAGTTGTTTAGCTTCCTAGCAGCTGGTTGTTATTCTCCTTATAATCACAAGGTTAGATTATTCTTTTGTTTACTCATCTCATTTAATTAGTTTAATTTAATTTCTTAATTTTTAAAAATATGCAATATAGTTATTTTTCTCAATTGAGACTAATAACTTTTTATACATCTGACTATTTATATATATATATATATATATATATATATATATATTTTTAT